GCACGTGAATTCAAATAAAGCTCGTGCATCTAAAAAATCTTATTGATTAATTTTTTAAAAAATTTTTATTGATGAAAAGAGATAGTATTTACAAATAAAAAAAAAAAAAAGTAAAAGGATACACGTGGAATTGCGCGAGAAAATTCGATCTAACGAATTTTTTTTTTTTGATGCATTATTTATGATCGCCAGTGTATATATCATACTGGTTACAATGTAAAGTTCTTGTTCCATACTTGGTTCAATTAACCATAACTTTTGATTATCGGCAATGAACATTTGAAAGTCATAAAACTAAAGAATTTATGGCAGTTGATTAAATGGTAGTTGATCGAACTTTTTAAATTAAATAATTTTTTTTTTTAAATTATATTTTAATGGTAAAAACTACGTATTAAAATCAACTAAATTTTTTTTTATTTTTTAATAAGAAAAAAAATTCACCGCAGCAAGAGATTCTAACGGGTGTCGCATTATTAATTTTGATTTATAACATTAAAAAGTTTATTAAATTTGTTACGTAATAAATTTCCATTAAACTTCTAATGATAATGAAATGATGTAATCCTTATAAATAAAAGAACAATAATTGTCGGAGATGCTATTGTATAAGAATTCTTCATTATGATTGGTCGATATCACATGCATGCATTTACGGAGGGTGCACACAATAGGTCCGGGACCTGGAATCTCTTGCACATGCAGAATATGGAGGGTGTGCATTTAGTTCTAAGTCCCGATGTTGGGACCAAGTCAAGGTGTGCATTTAAAGAGTGTGTGCATTTACAGAGGGTGCACTTAGAGAGGTTAGACTGTATTTATTAGTAACCAAATTTTTTTGTACTTAATTTTACCAAATTAAAATAATATTTATATTTAAGTTAAAATTAAAATTTAAAATAAACAAATTATTTACCAAGAATTTTATTTTATTGAAAACAAAAATAATTAATTAATAAATTTAGAGTTCCTATCCGGTTAACGCTTATCCGGATAAGTATCAGATATCCGGATCTGAATTTATTCGGATATCTATTTACTATCCATTTACTATTGATATCCGAATAATTATCCGAATATCTGTCAGATTATCCGGATATCAATAGTAAACGGATATAAATCAGATATGGATAAACGGATGACGGATTTATCCGGATTGGAACTCTAATTTTATCACACTGAGAAATATTGGAAGATGGATGAAATTTCTGTTATCGTTCATGGTTAGAAAGGTTATTAAAGTTATGTTATTATTATTTGCATTGTTTATATTAATTTATCAGCTTTTTTTATCAGTAGTATTAGCCATCGTTAGCCCATAATCAGGACCGGACGAGGATTGAGAAATTATTCGGTCCCGGTCTTTACGAAGACCGATCCATCCCTATGCGCGACCACCTAAGCACGGACATTTGGACGTGTTAACTACTAGTATCAGATATTATAGTAAATCATAATTTTGAATTTTGTTCCGTTATTATTAAGTAATATCCGTTATATCGATGGCCCTTCATGTGTATATCAAGATTACTTAGTGTTGGTGATCTCAGTAAACCATTATGCGGGGTCTTTGCCATTTATTTATGCCAAAAAAGGAAATCGAATTTTGTAGATGCGTAAAAAATAATGTTAGGGGCTATGGCGATAAGCTGGCGTTTTTGAAATGTAAAATTTCATCATCATTTTTTTATTAGTCACCATTTGAGATCTTTTCTTTTTTTTTCTTTCGCATGTGTTCGGATTCAATGTCGGGCTTATTCGGAATACCCAAAATTTGTATTCTGTGATTGGCCATTTCCTTTTAAGGGTTTGGCTTTTTACAAACCACATGGTTAAAATATGGACCAAATTTGCCGACATGTATGTTCCATAACGTGATTTTCAAAGCAAAGAAACGCCCAATTGATTAGTTAATTTACGCTTATGTAAGGTTAACAAAAAAGCAATTTTAGAAATTATAATTAATTACTTTTAAAAACTTTAACGTAGTAATGCATTCCTGATCAAAATTCATTCGTAATACGTGAGTACGAAGGAATTCCAGAAAACCATAAAAGGATAAGCCATCAAATTAAAAGTTCATGAGAGTTTTAGAATGCCAAAAAAGGATAAGATATCAAATTAAATAGTTAGTGTAATAGCCTGTGTATCTTTAATTGGATTAGGAGTCATGTATAACTGTTGCCTGTGCGTATGAACGACATACTACATAATGCCTGATTTATTTTACCCATTACGTTCTTTTTTTTTTATTTACCAAACATTTCTTTTTTTTTCCGTTAACCAAACCTTTTACAAAATCGTTCTTTTTTTTTTTTTGCCTGTTGGATGAAATTTAAAAAAACATGTTTGATATATTAAGAACAAATAACAATGCTACATCACCAACGGAACCAAGACGATATCGTCGTCAAAAAAAATCAAACACATATTTAGCGACTTTCTCTATAGTATTTGCTATAATAATAATATCGATATTATATTTTAGTGTTCATAGATATTATAATAGCTCAACCGGTTTATCTCCTAGTGCGGAAGGCTACTCTACAACAAATAATAATGATAATAATGTAAACGATTCTAATAATAAAGTTGTAACTGAACCAGAAACCAAAAATGATCAAAGTAGTGTAACTCAACCAGAATACAAAAATGACGGAAGTCATGGATATATAGAAGAAGATCTAGATAATATAGATGATGATGATGACGAAGATATGTTAGAAAATGTAGAAGTTGAACCTCCTATCACATATAATAAAAACGAGAAAATTGAAATAAATACATCAAATCATTATAAAATTTTAATCTTAATCACATCACAATTAAGAGAATATAGAAAACGTAATTTATTACGAGAAGTTTTATTTGGTATAGAAAATAATTTAGAACCTTGTATAAGATATAATATGGAAATTTATTATAAATTTTTAATTCCACCGGTTAATTTTGGAAATAATAAAGAATTGTACAGAAATTTCGTAGGCGAATCCATAGAATATAATGATATAGTAAATTTTCAAAATTTACTTGGTTCAAATTTTACTCAAGAGACTATTCTTAAATGGGTAAATATATTTTTTAATGAATATTCGAAATATTCTATATAAATATTTTGAAAAATATTTTTTAACACATATTTCATTTTACGTGCAGGTCCAAACCCAAAAAGACTATAATATAACATTTGATCACTTAGTACTTTTAGATGGAAACTCAATCGTAAACCTCGAAGAAATTGAATATAATTTATCTTACAAAGATACAGATGATGATGAATATATTGCAAAGTTGCCATATGTTATTTGGGGTAATTTTGAGATACCATCAGCTGATAATGCTGTAATTATTGGAGCGGAAGCTATTAAAGTGATTTTAGAGAATGAATATCTCTTACAAAATTCAAATTATACAAATTTAATAACACGAGCATACTTTTATAACAAAGAAAATTCTCAAACAAACTTTTCAAATGAATTAGAATCATTAATTTTCTTAAATGATGAAGAAGGATTTATTGTATGGAACGGAAAAGTAGAAGATATTCCTCAAAATCCCATCATAAGTATTGAAAATTTGATCATGGCAGATGATATCCTCAGAGTTACCAATCATCTTTCAATTCCATACGTACCAGCTTGTCACTTCACGACACCATCAGAAGGTGAACCTAAGATAGCCGTGGTAACAAGTTCGTCTTTTAAGGATGAATCAAATAATTGTAAACAATCAATATTAGATATAGCTTATGAATCAGCAAAAAACAAACGATTATACTCACAAAAACATGGATATTCATTCATTCCTTTACAAACTAACAAACGTGGAATAGTAACATGGGGAAAAATGGATGCGATAAAACGTACTTTACCATATTATGATTGGGTTCTTTGGATTGATACTAATTCAGTTATTACGAATTATGATATATCAGTTGTTGATTTATTAGAAAAATTATATTTAATTGTTGGAGAAAGATTAATTTCTGATGGTAATGTTGATAAAGAAGAAAAATATAAAAAAGGAAAAGAAGAATTTAATGAAAAAATAGAAGTTGTAATTGCAGAATCTAAAGGAGAAGGTTCAGATACAGGGTTATTACTAATTAAACATTCAGGATGGAGTTTCAGTTTTATAAGAAATGTACAGGCAATTAGAGATAAAACTGTGATGGAAAAAGGATCCATATGGAAATTTTTAGAAGATTTTCCCGAATTTAAAAACCGAGCAAGTATTATTTTATTTTTAATTTGACTATTCTCGATTATACCTTTAATTTTTTTTTAATCATTTTAATCATTATTTAATAGGTATTGTTATTAAGTCATAAAGAGTACCCACTTAACTCTTCACCTGAAGATTGGAAAGAAGGAGATTTAATTATCAATTACGGATCTGAGAAATGTCCTGCCGGTTCCATAGCGAATTCACTTAAAGAACTAAATCTAAATGTTCAAGAGAACTCATAATTACAGCATTCTAATCATAATAACTAATGTAAAATTTATATATAAATTCTATATAGATAAAAATACGTAAAATTTTTTTTATGGTGTTAAGAGTGTGTTAAGAGTGTGTTAAGAGTGTGTTAAGAGTGTGTTAAGAGTGTGTTAAGAGCGTGTTAAGGGTGTGTTAAGAGCGTGTTAAGGGTGTGTTAAGAGCGTGTTAAGGGTGTGTTAAGAGCGTGTTAAGGGTGTGTTAAGGGTGTGTTAAGAACGTGTTAAGAGCGTGTTAAGAGCGTGTTAAGTAGGGGACTGATAAGATTTTTCTTAATTTCGGTCCTGCCCGTGCAGACCCCCTAGTGTTAAGTAATTTCGCCTGGCATCTAAAATTTTCGTGAATATCGGTATGAAAAAAAGCATTTTATTGCTACCTTGTCTTTTCCGCCACCTTGCTTTTTCGAGATGAATCTTTGAAATTTTACGTATTGTAAAATTGTCATTAACGTTAACTCAAAGGGCGTTAATAATTTGGACCTCGTACCACAATAAATATGCACGCTTGATTTACCCCTTTTTTTCATCTTTCTTTACAAGGGGTTCAAAGACTAAATACTGCCTTTTATATTAAAATCATGTGCGCCATGTTCGTTGATCCAACTCAAACTCTAAATCGCTGATCACATTAATTAATAACGATGTATACGGTGCATACCAGTCTAACGTTAAAGACAGCAGTCATTTAATTTTATACGTAGCGGATTTTTTTTTTTAAAAAAAAAATTATAATCAAGTTTATTAATTTTTATTAGTGAATATACGTATAGTTTTTAAATGGATGGGATTCTAATTCAATAATTTTTGCATGTTATACAAAATTTCGTATAATCTTATTGGTTCTGGAACCAAAATTTTAAAACCAGATACGTACGTACGCATTCACATTATAAATGCATCCTGTGCCTTAGTACGTACCAACTAATGTACTCATCTTAAATGCATAATTTGCTACCAGTTTCAAGGGAGGTGCATTAAGGTGTATATACTGAAGAATTGTCAGAAGATCTCTATCGGATATTATAATTTGATCGGATAATTTAGATATAAGATAGTCATACCTGATACGTAGTACGTTCGTACGTACAGGCATATGCATCATATCTGATATGTATAACCAATTTATACCCGAAAGTATGCAAATATATAGTGTGCAAGTTACACGTCTCTTAAATATAAGTACAATAATATTAAATCTAACCATAGTTAGCATTAACGTTAAGACATCGTTCGTAGACAAAATATATATGTATATATATATATATGTATAACGATAATTCTTTAACAATTATTTGCATTATATATTATAATAATATATTGTTCTACAGTACCAGACGATAAAATATTTAAACTTTTTTATCGTTTTAGTTAATTAAATTAATACGTATACAGTTGCTCTATGTTTGTTAAAACTGTTCAAAATATTTTTTTTTATAATTTTTGTATATATTTATTCTTTTAACAAACAAAAATGCTAAAATAATTCATTATGAGCTGGACTAAATAATATTAAAATTTAATATAGCAGCATTAGCCATAGACTTAATCACTACTAGTCTGGTTTAATTAGTAGGTTCCATAAACATATATATCTTCTTGTTTGGCAAACTACTTAAAAGAAAAGAGACAACCCTTTTTGAACTACTAGGAGATATTTTGATAAATATAAGTATTCCCATATTGATAATTAAAACGAAGTAGTTGCCAACCAAAAAGGAGAGTAACAAAAGGAACCAATAAGAGATTTTTTTTTAAAAAAAAAAAGTTGTATGATATATAATTTTTAAAATTTTGATTTAATGCTTTCAATATACAATAGTTTTTTTTTTAATATAAAATTTTGGCGTTTTAACAAAAAAGTAATATACTGTTTATCATTATAAATAAATTAATATTGAAAAATATTTTCAAAAAAAAAAAATATTAGCAATTATCATCATTATGCAAATCCAGAGTAATTAAAAAATAATATCTATTTTATCTTAAATCTATCAAACCATAATTACAGTATTATATTTGATAGCAATAACAAATAGTTGATACCAGTATTACTGTAGTATAGCAATAGCGGATGAAAATTATAAATATCAATAAAAGATAAATATAAAAAAAAGGTGAGAATATTCTAGCCCTAGCCCTTCTACCTGTTGTTCTTGAGGCTGTGAAAAGAAAACAAATTTCGAAAAAAAAGAATTATAACGCGTTCATTATCTTGTTTGGGCATAACGTAAACACTCAGCATATCGATATGATGGCTTGGACATTAATGAATAAATAAATAGGAAATTATGTTTTTCTCTTGATAGAGTTTTCGAATTATGAAATAAGAATAGATAGAGATCATAACTCAGATTAAATTTTCTTTTTTTAAAAAAATGTTTGCGTGATTTTTATGTTTTACAAAAATTTTATATATATTTATGAATCATTGATTTTGTTTCCTTCTTTAAATTTAGACGATGAATTCAAATCAAAAAAGAGATTTTTGGATACGTCTATGTTTAGCCATACCTTTATTGATTTTGGCTTTTCTATGTCCTTGTTTGCGTAAGTTAATTCTTATTAATAAATGATTATTTTACTAATTAATAGTAACTATTTTACTAATTAATAATAACTATTATTATTGAATAATAAAGAATACGCGAAAATAATTATTCTTCTATCATTTGATCACACAATAGTAAGCGATGTTGACATAATGTAAGCCTTCTTTTCGAGGAATGGTTTGTGTGAATTAATTATAAAACAATAACTTTATAAATATATATTATAAATATAAATTATACTTTTAAATAGATACTTTGCTGTTTCGCTCGTCTTTCCAGGTAAATATCGAAAATTTTGTAAAGTTTTGGTTAATTTTTTTTTTTAACATTTAATTTGTTTTTTTTTCGATTAGCTTATCTAGTCATACAAGGATCATTCGGTTGTGAACGCCTAGATTTTCGACGAATGTCTGCAATGATAACAAAAAAGTTATCGATGTTGGCGAAGTAATTTCCATCTTTGAGTCTAAAGTAAAAGCCATTTATTTATCATTGATCTATCTAAATTTATTTATTAAAAAAAAAAAAAAAAATTCTTTAAACAGTTATTTAATTTTACTTTGGGTAATCATTGCGAGTAAGTGTAACTTTCATTTACAATAATACAATAATACATAACAAAATATCAGTTACATAATAATTTTCATCCTTTCTTTTAAATATCAGTCCTTTATACGACATACTCATCCTACCAAATACCAGGTTCAAAAAATTTAAAAATAGTTCAAGTCTTTCGTCAAATTTATATAGCAAATATAATTTGTATGTGGTTTTTTGGTGCTTTTACATTTTCTTGGAGAATTAAAGATTGCGTAAATCCTGATTTCACGAATCGTGAGTTTTATGGCGAAGAACGTCCCGCGGGTCTTTAATAAAAATTTAAAAACTTTCATGTTGTCATTTTGAATTGAAAAATAGAAAATATAACGATCAATAATGTATTTGATAACAAATCCTTTTTTTTTAAAAAAAAAAAATTCTGAAATTCTAATGAATTGATTCACGTGGTTTATTTTTATTGTGGCTCGGCGAAACTCATGATTATGCATAATATGCACAACAAATAAACAAACAAACGAAAGCATTCTTTTACCTGGGCTAAGTTGAGGCGATGTGCATTAGTATAGACCAACCATTTACATATCTCTATAAACCAATTTCTTTTAAAATTTTTTCACAATATTATTATTCGTGGATTACAAATTACAATTGCATATGTTTCTTTGGTAATTTCAATAAGGAATTTTATATACATAATTCCTTGTATTCCATAAAAAAAAATATATATTTTTTATGAACATGCTTGTTTGTTCCTATTAACATGACTCAAGAAAAAACAAAAGAATATGTGAGAACGTGTTTAGGTATACCATTGCTGATAGTATCTTTTCTTTGCCCGTGTTTACGTAAGTTTAACCTTTTATTTCGAATTCGTGTCTATCATGTCTTTTATTAATTAACAATCATCTTTTTTTTTTCAAAGAATATTCAAAATTGATTATTTTCTCGGAAATTTCTATATATGGTTTAAATTTATCTACCGTAGACATCGTGTAAGTTAGTTTTTTTTTTATTAACCATTTTCAAAGATAATTTTTAAAAAAATTATATATTCATATATATGTGTATATTCAAAAATGGTTTAGGTACTTGGTGGTTTCTCTCATTCTTCCCGGTAAAATTTTCATTGACTAGTTCAATAATTGCTTATCTTATGCTATAACACACATTTATTTGATAATAAAAAATTCAGCAAGTTTTATTATAAATGGTATATGTAAACCATTCAGATTTAAGAAATTGTTAAAAGAATCCGCTGTTGAGTTTAATAAATGGTCTAGGTATTCATTCATTTTCATTTTCATTTTCACTTTCATTTATATTGTTTTTGTTAAAGATTTAATTTTATTTATTTATTTTAATTATTAATTCGGATATAAAGCCCTATAATATTACTTTGGATATTCACAGCAGGTAATTGAAGGTTTATCATATTCACTCTTTTCACTCTTTTCACATTTCAACTTTTCACATTTCAACTTTTCACATTTCAACTTTTCACATTTCAAGTTTATCAAATTCAACCTTGCTTTTTTTTTCGTAGTAATATACACGAATTATACAGCAAATGAAATAGGAGATATACCATTCTCATGTCCAAGTGATTACCCTTATAAAGTTTCAGCTATTCGTACAGCTTGTATAGTTCGTTCGGCAAATATAATCTGTATGTGGTTATTTATTTTACTTTCAGTGTTTTGGATTGCAGTTGATTGTTCAGGTTTAGTTTATTGGGAGGAAGAAGAAGAAGGTGAAGATGAGGAGGGTACTAAGAATACTAAGAATTCTAAAGAAGAGGAGCTCTCACGTGATGATTAATATATATATAAATATATAATATATAAATATAGTATATATAAGTAT